GGGGGGTGGGGGGGTGGCACAGACAGACTCTCCGTGTCCAAGGGAAGAGGGTGTCATGGAGCCCCCTCCTGGTTAAAGGCATCCCTGACAGCTTGATGAACAAGGCACTCTCCAAGTGGATTGGGTGCGGAAAGCAAGAAATGGGGATCCCCCTCCAAATTGTGTGGGAATGAGTTGGGTCCCCGTGGCTGCTATTGATTGGTCGCAATAGAGTGACGCGGACCAATCAGGAGAAGGAAGGACATTTGCGGGCCAATAGGAAGAGAAAAGCAGGTGAGTGGTTGCTAGGAGAGACAGCCCGCGTTGCCTAGGACGAGGTGCGCCGGTAGCTGCCTGGGACTGGGGCGAGCACCTGTCCTGGGCGGGTGGTGGTGGTTCAGCCTCGGGGAATGGGAATGTTTGCTGCGCCTGGCAAGGGAGGGCACAGCCAGGGGTGGCCGGGGCAGCCGGAGGAGACCGACCTTTAATCCCGGCTCACTGTGAAGGGATTGACTTTTCTCCCCGTGTCTACAGCTTTGCTGTGTTCCGAAAGCTCCGGTGGCAGCGATGGTCGAGTGCCGAAGTCGGTGGTTTGACCTCACCACCAGCCGCTCAGCCCAAATGATGAGTCAGGCTGCGCCTGTAAAGGTTATAGCCCTGTCCACCCTGTGAGGCACTTCTGCTGTGTTCTGTAGGGTTGCTGTGTGCCGGGATCAACTCTGTGATCATGGGTTTGGGCTCGTATTGTTTGTCGCTGGGCCAGCACCACCGCTCCCAGTAGTTTGGGATGCGGGCTCTTTCAGCGTGTGTCTGGGTCGCAGCCAACTCAGGCGGCCCGTCCTTCAACAGGGTGGCGCTCACTTCATGCTGTGGGGTTTCCCCCTCCCCTCATTTCCTGTAACCGACCAATCAGCAAAGTCCAAGTTGGCTAGATGGTGCCAATCCCTTATACCTTGTACGTGGAGCAACTGCGGTTTGGAAACTACACACGACCTGCCCGAGGTTGTTTTGACTGGAGGTGCCCTACTGTTGGGCACAGCCCCCTTCACCTGGCATGGCCTTACAGCCCCTGTATTGGTCCCCTTCCCCTCAATAAGGCCACTGCTGTTTTCCCAGTAAGTCAGTCCATTGGTCAACTGCCAGTCCTTGCCTGCCCTGACTTCTCATCCTTGAAAGCCTCCTCCTCTAGCGCCTGTAACCCCCTGTGCCCTTGCCTTTTCTCTTTACCATCTGCCTGCTCATCCTCCCCTTTCTTCTAGCTAGACTTTTATGTAACCACTGGTGTCCACTTAGACCCTCTGGCTTCAGTCTCCTCTCACGGAGAGGTTGAATGCCTGCTGGTTGAATACCTGCTGCCGTTCAGCTCCCCCACACTGTTGACTCCCATGTCTGGTCTCCACTGGCTTCCCTCTTGCTTCTAAACAATCCAGTGCCCTGAGTTGTCTGCCTCCACCCGAGCTCCAGAAACTTGTGGGCATCATGTCCACTGTCTCCCTCTCCGTCCACCCCACATCCCAACTGGTCGTTAATTCACTCGTTCAACTCTTCTATAAATATTTATAAGGTGGCTCCTGTTGGAGGAACTTCGGATGGGTCCACAATCAAAAGAAGATCTCTATTCTTGTAGAGCATTCATCCTAGTAGGTGTGAGGGATCATAAAATTGTATGCAATATCAGTGGACTGTCAAGTATGTTGGATGATGATAAGGGGAGAAAGTCAAACAGAATCAAGGGACTGAGGCGTGGGGGGTGGTCACAGGAGACAGGTCACAGTCTCAGTGAGGGTACTCTGGGTACCCCTACTTGAGAAGCATCTCTCCATGGGAAAACAATACTTTTCATGGTCTCTGGTTGATGAGCTTTGCAGGAAGCATTGACTGAGATGGGTTTGGGTGGTATTCCATGTAAGGCTACCTTTTTCAAAGGGATGTGACGATATTACAAATAAAGAACGCCTTTTAAAATCATTTGACTTTTATTAGAGGCAAATGTCATGGGAAAATTCTTTGAGCTCTTTTCCTGAATCTATAGTTGTGTGTGTGTTTTAAACAAATAAAACAACTCAAAAAACAAACCAACCGTGGAATTATTGAAACCCAAATGAAGGCTGAACGTGATAGTGGGTCAAGAGGAAAGTAAGAAGAAATAAGAGAAAGAACTAGGAGGCAAAGGGCATTTATAGAGGTCTAAATATAGGCAAGTACATATGTAAATACATTTCTATATAACGATAGGCAAATAGATCTATGTACTTGTTAAGAATCAAGGTAGCAGACAGACATTGGCCTCTATTCAAGTACTCCCTCAACACAAGAACACTTTGTTCTAATAACCTGACATTCTGTGATGCTCACCTTCCTGACATGATCACTGAAGACAAAATGGGTGCATAAGCAAATGTGGTGAAGAAAGTAGATGGTGCCTGACTATCAAAAGATAAAGTGTTTAGGATCTAAAAAGATGGAAAATAAACAAGCAGCCATCTAGCTGAGAAGCAACAAAGTCCACATGAAAGAAACACACCAGCCTGTGTGATCAGGAGGTGTCCATGGGACCAGAATAAAAAACCATATTGATGTGAATGAGGGGGAGTGCAGACTGGAGACCCAAATCCCATCTGTAGACAGTTGGACATCCCCTTACAGAAGGGTCACAAGGCGGGAACCGATTACAAGGAACTGTGTGTGACCTCCTCCCTGGGGGACAGACAACAGAAAAGTGGGTAAAGGGAGACGTCAGACAGGGAAAGATATGACAAAATAATTTATAAATTATAAAGGGCTTATGAGGGAGGGAGAGCGGGGAGGGAGGGGAAAAATGAGGACCTAATGCCGGGGGCTTAAGTGGAGAGGAAATGTTTTGAGAATGATGAGGGCAATGAATGTAAAAATGCACTTGCTTTACACAATTGATGTATGTATGGATTGTGATAAGAGTTGTATGAGCCCCTAATAAAACGATTAAATAAACAAAACAAAAAAAAGGTCACAAGGAAGAGATGAGCCAGTCAGGGTGCAATATAACACCGATGAAACATACAACTTTCCTCTAGTTCTTTAATGCTTCCTCCCCCCACTATCATGATCCCAATTCTACCTCACCAATCCGGCTAGACCAGAGCATGTACACAGGTACAGATAAGAGCTGGAAACAAAGGGAATCCAGGACAGATAAATTCCTCAGGACCAAAATTGAGAGTAGCCATACCAGGAGGGGAAAGGGAAGGTGGGGGGTGGGGTGGGGGTGGGAAGGGGGATCACAATGATCTACATATAACCTCCTCCCTGAGGGATGGACAACAGAAAAGTGGTGAAGGAAGACATCGGTCAGTGTAAGACATGAAAAAAATAATTTATAAATTTTCAAGGGTTCATGAGGGAGGGAGGATGGGGGAGTGTGGTAGTTACATAATCTGGTGTTAATTTGAGAGGATTAGGAGTGAAGGGGTGAAGTCTGGCTTGTCAATCAAGATATAACTAATTAGGCCTCTGTGTGGGCATGGCCTTCTCCTGGGAATTCCTGTTTTTCCTCCTTGGAGGCAGGAGACAATTCTCTCTCTCTCTCTGCTCACTCCCTGGGAGACATCCCTGAGAAGAAGCCACATCGACCTACCCTGATGCAGCCAGAACCTTGGACCAGGAGAAACCACGTGGAGACCCTGCCAGCTGCGGAGATGCTTACAACGCCACTCGATCTACAAGACTTCCCACCCACTGGCTTGGATCGTCTGCATTTGGCGTCATTGCATGTGTTTCATGAGTCTGAAGAGGACTTTATAGATTGGTATTGGACATGGGCTAATATCGGGCTTATGGACTGGACTGGATTGGGATGCATTTTTAATGTACAATTACACTTTATTTAAAAGATTCTTACGCATATATGAGTTTCTATGGATTTGTTTCTCCAGTCTACCCAGACTGTCACATTATGGTACCAGGAGTGGGCACTAGAGAAACAAATCAAAACGATGGAGAGTAGATGTTTGTTTGACCTCTCCCTCATGGCAGGGTTTCTTCTTTGGCTGACCAGGAGTCAGATATGTCCACGGAGTTTACTGGGTTGTTTTCTAGAAAGAATATGGGAAGTTAAGGTTTTAATTATTTGGTTTGGTTGTAGTCTTTGGTTAATCCTGTTTGACATGGCGAAAATGAATGTGATAAATGTATATTTTGAGCTCAGGTAGAAATCACCATTTAAATTTCTCAGAAACCATACTGCTTAAGGAAAATGGCTGTCAGAAGGTCAAAATGGCTCACAGAAAGCTTGGCTCTGGTTTAATACTCTCAAGAGGCCTAATCCCATATTTTTGTATCAATAGAATAGTTTTGATAAGGATTAAGATAAGCTAAATAAGCATTGAACTTGACTGTCTTAAGAATTGAGTTTAGTATCTGATTCTACTTTGTTTATACTGACTTCTTCTGCTTATTATTGTAGGTATAAGGATGTATAGAAATGATTTGGGGAAGCGTGGAATTAGCCTGTAAACCCACTTGCCTTGAACCATTGATTTGATCTTTAGATGGGTTTAGGACATGCCTGGAAAGAAGGCTCTGAGAAGATAAGCCGCACCCAGGGCCTTGGAGAACTCAGGATATTTGCATTCCAAGAGATCTGCTTAAGGGCAAGATTGACAGATAGAAGGAAAAAGGAACTCTTTGAAGTTTGAACTCTAGTGGTTTTTGTCAGAAGGGGGGTGGGGTCTGGAACCATGAAGAAAACGCCTCTCTTAAGGAAGCCTGTGGCAGGCTGAAATGCTTGCTAGGTGACTACCTGGATCCTCTTGTTGAATGGAAGTGGGAAAAATGCAGCAATAAAGATATGGATTGTGGTTGACCACTGACACCCTTGGACCTGGTTTACAGGAGCTAGAGAAGATGAGAGCAGGTTGACTGGTCTGAAGTTCATGACCTAGCACAAGGCTTGTTGAGAAGTTGTGATGGGGCCATGGTCTAAAGGCAAGGTGACCAATGGGCACCCTGTGGAGGCTGAGTGAGGCAGCCCACGTTGAGGTGACCAGAACCCGACCAGATGGAGATTTTTGAGCCAGTGAACTGGTGCATACGGCTGCTGACTTTGGATGGCCTGCCCTGATGTGACTTTGCTTATGGATGCAGACTCACAAGGTTCCAACTGGAATGAAGACTCTTCACGTCAAACAATATGATCGTCTCCAGAGAGCACTGGGTTGATGTCAGTGGGCTGTATAGAAATTGGATACCCAAATCGGGGGGATAAAAGCATGAAGTGGTTGGCTTACAAACTTTCGTTTTGTTATTTTGTCATATCTTGCCCTGTCCGACATCTCCCTTCACCCACTTTTCGGTTGTCTGTCCCCCAGGGAGGAGGTCACATATAGTTCCCTGTAATCGGTTTCCTCTTTCCCACCCACTCTCCCTCTACCCTCCCCGTGAGAGAAAATGTTCTAAAAATTATGGCAATAAATGTTCAAATGTGCTTGACACAATGGATGGAGGGATTGTGATAAGAGCTGTGTGAGCCCCCAAAACAATGACTGGAAAATAAAAACAAAAACAACCGAGAGTATATGGACGTTCATCTGGCTACATCATGGGCAAAACCTGAAGGGATTTCTGACTTGCTGCTGTAACAGCAATAAGGAAGACAGAGATTTGGTTTTACCTTTCTCTGGGTTTCTGAGACTAACCCTTCAGTAACATCTGGCTCATGGTTGATTCTGCTTGGTTTACCCTGTTCACACTTAAAAGAACACAAAACGTAACTGTGAAAGATTACACTTAAGAAAGATTTCTGGCTTCTGGGCCCACGTTACCGGGCTGCCAGCCAGTGTCTCTTGGACGTTCTCTGTCCAGACTCTGTGGGATTTTCACCCGTTTATTCAAGGTTGTTTCTCTTACTCTGAGGCCGTGCTGGCCACCCTGGGAACACAGAGATGACAATACACAACCCTCAGAAGTTCACAGTCTAGCCGGGGAGAAAGCTGGCTTCAAAAATCTACACTCAGGTGTGATCAATGGGATAGCAGAATTGTGTAGAAGGCCTACCATGGCTGACTGAGAGCAGGTCTCGAAATAAGTGTCTGTGTGTGTCCACATGGGTGTAATTGGGAGGGTGGGGACCATCTGGGTGGAGCTAGTCCCTGGACATCTGGATGTGGTTGCCCTTAATCACTTCTGGGTCTTCATTCTTCCTTCAGGAACAGAGAACCTACCTTTCATTGTGTTGGAAAAATACTTCCAGATCCTCCCTGTCTATTGGCCCATCTCTGGTTTTCCCAGGAGCCACCATCCCCACCCCCCTAACAAAAAAACTGTGTCATTGTGGGGCAATGACCCCATGTAAGCACCGATCTGCCTGTCTGTCTAGATAGACCGCTTTGGGACTTCCTTTTAGCCCGGGAGCTCATTCCTTCCAACAGTAAATGTGTACTGAGCACTGTGTGCAGGTCCATGGCCGGGCCTGGGGACACTGGTGGACAAGGCACAGCACAGACCTCATGGAGCTTCCGTCTCAGGGTGGAGAGATGCACCCAGCAAAGAATTGCAAGGTAGTGATCTGGTCACAGGAAACATAGTTCTCCACAAGCTCCTACTGAGTGACGGAGGGCATGACTACAACATGGCCCAAAGGCCTGTCTAGTCCGAATTCATGTCAATGTTCTTTTATTTCACATTCAGCGCATTTGTATTAAATATCAACTATGTGATAGGCTTCAAGCTGGGGTTTGGGGAGGGCTCACAGTTTAACACTCAGGCCTCCGTGCTCACATTCAGAGCGGGCTGGAAAATAAACACCAAGGCTAGGGGATCTAATGTTTCTTTCGTTACCTACGACGTGGTTGGGAAAAATGCCTCTCGCAATCTGCGTGGATCCCTCCGGAGCTGCACAGACGAATCCACCGTGGTCGACAAGTTTCTCCTCCTCTGGACCTTTGGTCCAGATAGAAGGCAGAGAAGAATGCACGTGGGTGGGCCAGGCAGATCTCGAGAGGACAAGGCTGTACAGAGCATGCTCCGTTGCTTCTAGTAACCCTGGAGCGACGCCCCTGCCCTTGGCGGAGAGAGGGAGGGTCAGTGGAAGGAGACCAGA